TACCGCCTATGAACCCATATAATGAGCTTTCAGAAGGGTGCTGGTAAAAATCTTTTGAGTGGTGGAAGGAAAATATTTCAAGCTGTAGTGTATTATTGTTTGCAACACTAGCGGTAGATTGAATATTGTTGTCGTTTTTATATGATTTTGAATATGATACAAATTATTGTATGAAATTAATTATTGTTTTAATCAACATATCGAATTATATGAAAAAAAAAAAACCAATTGGGAAATAATTTGCCGTTAAAACTGAGGGCTTTCTCGTTAGGAGCAAAGTTATTGGCATTATGAGTGTGAGTTGAATGAAATTTTTTTAATAGTTGTTGTATACTTCGGACATTTATTTCTTTTAATTTGTTCGGTTGCTTTATGATTCCTCTGGGTGTACACGTATTCTCTAAAGTTGTCTTATATATATAGAAGTATTATTATACCCTCCACCTTGAAATGGAGGGCATATTCATTTTGTCATTCCGTTTGTAACATCCATAAATATTCGTTGTGGAACCATAAAGTAAATATATTCGTGATCAATATAAAATTCTAAGGCGATCTAACGATGTCCGACTGGTTTCAAATTTGGTATTTGAAGTTCGCAATAGACACTACAGCACAAAACAGAAAATGGACCATGTCGGTCCACGTCTTCGTATAGCCCCCATATAACTATACCCCCCGATATTCGGTATTTTGAAGATGTTAGCCACATCTTCCAATGGAATTGTCTTAAAATCCACACAAGTAGTTCCTTGTGAGTACTTTACCCCCTGAGAGAGAATTGTCTATACAGGTCCACGATATCGTATATCCCCCATATAGCGGTACCCCCCGATATTCGGTATTTTGATGATGTTAGCCACACTTTTGAATGGAATTGTCTGAAATCCCCACAAGTAGTTTGTTGATGTTTTTGTGTAGACATGTATGTGTGTGTGGGAAATCGGGCCCTGCCTCAATTTGTTTGCCGGCGCTTACAAACGCCACTTGACAGAAAAAGATGTTTTTTAAATTTTTCGAAGGCACAACTAGTTGCCAGCGATTTCCAGCTCAATAAAAAGAGCTTTTTGATTTTTTAATTTTACTAAAGTTTTAAAGCCGGTTTAGGCTCTTTCTAACTTCTGAACTTTATTTTCAATTTCATCGTCCTTATATAAAACATAACGGTACTTAATCCTAGATTTTGTTTTCTTAATATATCCTTAAAAATAACAATAACAATCCTTAAAACTACAGCTGTTAATCAGCTGATCTACTTAGCCTAGTTACAGGTGATCAATACAAGGGTAGTTCACATGCATTAATTTATCGTAACATTACACCCTTACCCTAAAAAAAATAATTTTTGCTTTAGTAAAAATTATTTTGCATTATTCTTTTTAATATAAATTAATTAACTATAACTCCATTTCTTTAAAACATTATTGTGGTATTTCTTGAATTTACCATTTATATCTATTACAGTATTGACTCCATCAGTACTAATGACTTTATATGGGCCTAAATAAGGTTATTGATTTTTTTTTGTCTATTCATTAATCTTAATAAAACTAAATCATCTTTATTTACTTTTAGTGGATTAGAAGTTTCGGTTTTAGTAATTCTTTTAATTTTAGATTTTTCCAAATATTCCTTAGATTTACAGAGAGAAAACCTAAGCCTTTGCTTAATTGCATTTGAATATTCTTCAATATTGTAAAATTTCGATTCTTTTATAATTTCATCATTGGGTAAATATGGCAGTTTTCCAAAAACTAACTCATAAGGAGAATAGTTAGTATCAACATGTGGTGTGGTATTGTATGCAAAGGCAAAATATGGAATCCAAATGTCCCAGTCTGCACTATTTGAAAAATTTAGTAGAAATTCATTAAGAACCCTATGAGTTCTCTCTACCGAACCCAATGTTTCATGGTGATAAGGAGTGCTAAATATTTGTTTTATTTCCAATAAACGACATACCTCAGACATTAACTGATTAGAGAACTCTGTACCATTATCAGACTTTAGTATTTTATAATTTCCATATATCAAAATAAACCTCTCTGCAAGAGTCTTTGCTACAGTCCTTGCATCTTTTGTTTCCATAGGACATGCTACTATGTATTTGGTTAAATCACATTGTATTGTTAGAATGTATCTGTAACCATTTGATATTCTCAGTGGACCTACTGTATCTATTGATACTACCTCAAAACTAGTTCCTGGTGTATCTGTTAATGTCATTGTTTCTTTTGTGTGTGTAGTTTGTTTATTGATTCTACACTGTGGACAGTTTAAAACATATCCTTTTATCATTTTCGACATATTTTTCCAAATGTAACGCTGTTTGAGTTTTAAAGTTGTGTTTCTGACACCTAAATGTCCTCCATGCGTTGAATCATGATACTCTGATATTAATTTTAATTGTGTATTTTTGCAGTTAATCCTTTGAAGATCTCGGTATATAATTATTTGTAAATTTGTGTTTCGTTCTTTCTGTAATTTGTTCAGTAATTTGAACTCTTCCATGGCCATGGATTTGAATATTTCATCATTTTTGTTCATTGCTAGCTCTTTTATTCCTTTTTTATTGGTTTTTGTTAACAGTTTCTCCAAAGACAAATCTATGTTCATTGGATTATTGCTGTAACTCACAGTTATTATGTCTTTTCCAATCTCAATTGCTGGTTTCTTCTTTTCTTTGAGTAGTGCAAACTTAAGTTTTCTTATATTTTTTATATCTGTGAGTGATGTACATTCCCAAATCAAAAGTTGATCAGGCTTTGGATGAGAGCTGTCATCATCTATAATTTTATTGTTTGAGTTTTTTTTGCTTAAAAGTTTTTGTTTGCTCCTGGTAATAGCAAGAATTTTATGGTCTCGTTCGGGTGTCGTGGGAATTAAAGCCTTTAAAGAATCGCTGTTGAGTTTTATTCTGGACAATGCGTCAGCATTTGTGTTCATCTTCCCTTTTTTATAAGCGATCTCAAAATCGTAATCACTGAGATCCATGCGAGTCCTTGTCATCTTTGAGGATGGATTCCGATGTGAAAAAAGTGATACTAATGGTCTGTGGTCAGTAACAACAATAAACTTTCTTCCATATAAATATGGTCTAAAGAAATTAATTCCCCAGTGTATAGCAAGTAATTCTTTTTCGATAACTGGTTTCTTCAAATCGTGTGTCGAGAGTGTAGCGCTGTCGTAGGAAATAGGCAAGTCGTTTCCTATTTCTCCTTGGGATAACACTGCTCCCAACGCATAATTAGATGCGTCCGTTGTTAGCACGAAAGGCTTTGAAAAATCTGGATATTGTAATATTGGTGGTTTCAGTAAACAATTTTTTAAAGTTTCAAAAGCTTTTTGGAACTCAGGTCTCCATTCAAATTTGTTGTTCTTTTTCAGAAGTGCATTCAAACTCCTTGCTTTGTCTGCAAAATTAGGTATAAATCGACGATAATAATTGCAAAATGCTACATATCTCCTCACTTCATCTGCGTTTGTAGGTACGGGATAGTTTTTTATCGCACTATCCTTGGCTGGATCAGTTCTTACACCTTTATCGGTTATGAGATGTCCCAGGTAAACCACTTCAGGTTGTAGAAAACTGCACTTCATAGCATTTAACTTTAAGTTAAATTTCCGCAATCTTTTAAAAACGTTGCACAAATTGTCGTTGTGATCTCTCAGTCCAGAGCCAAAAACGATTATGTCGTCCACATATAAAAATGCAGATGCGTCCAATCCACTGAGAGCTATTGTAAGCATTCTCTGAAAACTGTTTGACGATATCTTCAAACCAAAAGGCAAACGTTTAAATTGATAGTGACCATTCGTTGTTGAAAATGCCGTCACCGGGCGCGAATCAGTGTGTAAATTAATCTGATGGAAAGAACTCGTCATATCCAATGTGGAAAAATACTTTGCTCTTCCTAGTCGATCTAATATATCTTCAATTCTAGTTAACGGAAACTTATCATTCACAATTTTGTTATTCAGCTTACGGAAATCCACTACTAATCGCCATTTGTTCTTATCATCCTTTGACTTTTTTGGTACTACTAAAAGTGGTGAATTATATGGACTAACCGATCGATTACATCATCTCATAGTAACTGATCGACTTGTTTATTTATTTCTTCCAACTGCGTCTGCGGAAGTCTATAATTTTTTATGTATACTGGTAAGGAATCTGTTATTTGTATTTTTTGAGTGTAAAAATTGTTCACACTTAACGGCTCCCCAGGCAAATGAAAAATATCTTGAAATTCTTCAAGAATTGTACGAATTGATTGTATAGCGTATGGATCATTTGTGCCGATGTCTAATCCATCAAGTAATGTCGAAAGCCTTTTATATTTTTTTTTTTTTTCTTTTGTAGCTTTAGAGTAATATATATGGTAATTTTTTAATGAGTTAAATTGACAATTCAGTTCTTTTAACTTTACGTCTTCATCAGTAGTATTTAACACCTTAACATGCACTTTACCATTAGCAGGAACTAAACAATTTGCTAGAAAGACTCCTTCAGCTATTTCCTTATTGAGTATTATGCTATCCTCATCTACTTTCATATCAAGTGGTAATATCGTTTCCGATCTTGCAGGTATTAACAACTGTTTTTGCTGAACCGGCCTTGCATTCATTGGCACTACAATCTTTATTATTAATATTAAATGCTATGGTGTGTGTTTCAAAGTCTATTTTGCAGTAATATTTTGCTAAAATATCTCGACCAATAATTCCATCTGTATGTATGGGAAAATCATCTGCGACTACGTAAAAATCATGACACAATGTCTCTCCTTCAATTTCTAGCATAAGTTCTGAAGTCCCAATACATTGAATAGCTTCTTTAGTTATGCCAGTTAATCTTGCAGTATTTGTTTTGTTCACGTATGAAAATGTGTGTTTGCATATGGAGATATCAGCTCCGGTATCTATTAAGAACGTTAAACGCTTTTCCTTAGAATTCAACGAAATAAAAGCGTTTGTCATCAAAGTTACATTGAATATCCTTAATTTTGGGCCTCCTGGATGAATTCTTCCATCATCCGGCCGTCTGAGTTTCCCTGTTGACATATACATGGAAAAGCCTTATAATTTCTGACTTCCGTATGCTTGATTCTGCCATTTTTACCATTATTGTATTTCACATTGCCCTGTATATTTTTATATTCTGCATTCTTATTGTTGTTTCCTTGATAGTTATTGCGATTATTGCTGTGACCATTGCTGAGTTTTTTTCGGTCACCTGGATTTCCATAATTATCACTGCATCGATTACCGATATTGTATCGTGTATTGTAATTGTTTCTGTACGAGTTATTGTAATCGTTATAATTGTATATATAACTTTTTCTATAAGGTTTACTTTGTTCATTTGATCTATTTGTTCTATTTACAAAGAATACATCCTTCGTGTCCAGACCTAAACTTCTCTCAGCTGTAATACATCTTTGGGTCGCCTCATTTAAGCTTGAAGGCATATTAGCCAATAAAATTGGCTGATATTCAGTGTTAACCCCTATCATAAAAACATAATAACATTTAATGCCATACTCACATTAACTTTGTATATCGCATCCTTTGTTTCTTGAGACGGGTTCTTTAAATTCCCTATTTCAAAACGATTCAACTCATCACAAAGTTCAGATATCTTTTCCCTAAATGAAGTCATTGTTAAATGTCCTTGCTTAGTTGTTCCTAATTCAGTTAATAGCTGTTGTAGCGTTCTTGGGTTTGGATAAGCATCTTCCAGTGCCTTTTTTAATTGTACAAATGTCGTTGGCTTGTTTGAACGACCTAAAATACTCCTTACTTGGGCTGATAACTTGAAATTATAGATGTACTTAATGAATAATTCTTTATCTTGCTCTTGTAGCAAATCATGCAGCAATTCTGCTTGAGATATAAAGTCTTCTAAATATTTGAATTCGCCTTTAAATACATGCAAATTTATGCTAACCATTGACATGTGGAATTGTGCCATATTTACGTTATTATTTACTATTTCTTCTTTTATATTCAATTCATTAATTAAAACCGAAATTTCTATTTTCAATTCATTAAATCTCGCTTTTAAAAGATAATCATTCTCATCTTCACATTGGTAATCATTCACCGCATTGACCAATTCTTCTAATCTTCCTAATTTTTCTTCAACGTATTTTTTTGTAAAAATCTTATTTTTACTTTTCTTTAAATTCAATTTTAATTTTTCTAATTCATTAATGCATGCTTCTATCTCCATTTATATTATTTTGCAACTAATATTAATACTTAAAATAAATTGAACAGTGTAAACGATCCTTAATAAAAATTTCAAATTTAACGGTCGCTTAATATTGAACTAATGAGTACAGGGTTGCAAAAGTAGTATTTTTACAATGATGGTTACCAATTACTTTTAAACTAATTATTTATCAATCGGTTAACAATAATCATAATTTAATTTTGTTTTGATCGACATTTTGTAAATTCGTGGTGTAATCTTGTGTTTTTTTTTGAAAATTGATAAAAATGTGAAATTTAAATATTTTATTGTGCTTTGTGTGTGAAATAAATTTCTAATTTATATTTTTATGATAAAATTTTACTTTAATCGCATTTATTGTGTAAATTCTATGTTTTGCTTTTTGTAATTATTCCTGTGATGTTTCATCTGTTGTATTCTTCTTCTTCTTAAAAAGGAATAATGTTTGCATACCAAATAAAATAAAAAGAAATTTGGAAAAATTTTTATTTATGTAATTTTATTTTTCAATGTGGGTGTTTTGTGAACTTTTAGATCTCATTTGAGCTTCCACAGCATCTATTTGTAGCCAAATTTGTGTGGCTTTTTGCCAAGATGGTGGAGGATCTGCATTCACAGCTTCTTTGAGGGCTGCCAATTGTCGACGCAGGCGTACAATTCTGCCTCCTCTGCGGTGTTTAGGCTTTTTAGTAGGGGGAATCCGCGTCAGCTTTTCTTCTTTAATTTGCTGTTGGCGCTTGAAATATTCCTCCAGTGTCAAACTCTTAGGACCTTGGGGTAATGTGTCATGCATGACAGGATTTGCTGCTCGATGCCGTGTTTGGCAGGATCGTCATGTAATTTTGGCCTGCAACCTGTTGATGTTTTTGTGTAGACATGTATGTGTGTGTGGAAAATTGGGCCCTGCCTCAATTTGTTTGCCGGCGCTTACAAACGCCACTTGGCAGAAAAAGATGTTTTTTTAAATTTTTCGAAGGCACAACTAGTTGCCAGCGATTTTCAGCTCAATAAAAAGTGCTTTTTGATTTTTTTAATTTTACTAAAGTTTTAAAGCCGGTTTAGGCTCTTTCTAACTTCTGAACTTTATTTTCAATTTCATTGTCCCTATATATAAAACATAACGGATTTTGTTTTCTTAATATATCCTTAAAAATAACAATAACAATCCTTAAAACTACAGTACTTCACCCCCTGAGAGAGAATTGTCTATACAGGTCCAAAATATCGTATATCCCCCATATAACGGTACCCCCCGATATTCGGTATTTTTATGATTTTACCCACATTTTTCATCGGAATTGTCTGAAAATCCTCACAAGGAGTTCCTTGTAGGTACTTTATACCTCGACAGAGAATTATCTATGTAGGTCCACGATATCGTATAGCCCTCATATAACGGTACCCCCGATATTCTTTATTTTGATGTTTTTAGCCATATTTTTCAAGAGAATGGTCACAAGGGTTCTTTGTGAGCACTTTACCCCCCGACGGAGAATTCTCTATATAGGTTAACGATAACGTATAGTTCCCATATAACGATACCCCCGATATTCGGTATTTTGAAAATCCACACAAGGAGTTCCTTGTGAGTACTTTACACGCAGACATAGATTTGTCTTTATAGGTCCACAATATCGTATATCCCCACATATCGGCACCTTCTTATATTAGATATTTTAAATATTTTAAAAGAATTTTTAATGGTTTTTTTTTTTTTGTTTTTGAAAATTTTCTAATTCGTTCTAAATGGTGGAGGGCCGAACTTACTGCTTTTTTACTTGTCTATCTTAGGATGTAGTATCCATTACGAACTTCAAATACCAAATTCTGGTAAATAATGTCGCTAAAATCATCAAAATACCGAATATCGGGGGGTACCGTTATATGGAGGCTATACGAAGACGTGGACCTACATGGCCCATTTTCAATACCAAAAGTCCAGCTGACATAATACACATTTGAATAAAATTTTATCGGCCTACTGCATTTCGTTCGGAAGCTAGAATGATTTCCACAGACATTGATAAATCGACATAGAATTGTATGCTGATCAATAATATATATATACTTTGTGGGGTCTAAAATGTATATTTCGAGGTGTTACAAACGGAATGACAAACTTAAAAAATTATACTATGGTGGAGGGTATAATAATAGTACATAGAAGTTCTCGTTATGGCATGGCTCCCATATAACGGCATCACTCACTTTATTGTTTTTATACCCTCCACCATACATAGTATGAAGGGTATATAAGTTCGTCACTCCGTTTGTAACTCATCGAAATAATAATTTTAGACCCAATAAAGTATATATATTCTTGATCAGCGTAAAATTTATAGCGAAAAAGTAGAGAGGAGGTGTAGACGACGCAAAACATCGACTATAACTAACTCCGTAGGAGTGGGAAAGGAATTGAAATGTCCATCGGACGAAAGTGCCGCTTTTTATATTATATTTCGCTCCTCACATTCTACATTTACATTTATGTGAATTATGGATCGGTGATCCTGCAATATAAGTAATTATAGATGCGTAGCATCGGCTTTAATACTTGGCATTCAAAAGATGCCAGATGAACTATATGGGATTCCTCTTTGAAAATTAAGTACAGAGGGTCGTATAGCCATTGTTTATGCGAATTGAATTCATTTGCGTGATGAAGAAGTGTAGGCGATGGAATTGTTGTGTTTTCCGTGTGAAAACTGACCTATACCTTACACACGTATGGAAAAAGCATCCGTAGGGAAAGATGTGAGCTCAAGTGACTCAAAGTCCCCAGTCTTTTACCCTAATCTAAGGAGAATCCCTAAACAGAAGGTTGTAGAGGGGAGTTTGGCATTGGACCAGTAATGATCCAGCCGAAGAAAGTGTTCTGCGCTATCAATGAACCTAGTACGTTGGTACGTGACTCTGTAGCAGAATCTTCGGATACAGATCTGCACCTAATAGTCGGTCAACAGGACGAGAAGAAAAGGGATCAGGGTCGGCCAAACGAAGATTTGGCAATTGTGGAATTGTCGACAGAACCAGAGCATTAGTTTCTGCGTAGCATCCAATGGAGAACTGATACGAATGGGACATTGTTTACGGGAAATTTGTGAAACGGACAAATTAACCCCCGAGATTGAAGCTTGAACGTTATTCGAGCCTATACCCAATCCTTTTTGTATACGTTCAGAAACAAAAGATGCTTCTGAAGCAGGATTTATTAAGGCTCTAACTAGGTACGTAGAACCGTTGTGTACAATGTGCACTATAGCTGTGCCGAACAATATTTTTCTGCTCTGGGTGGTATGAAAAACCTGTCGGTTTGAAGACCCTGATATAATATTGGTAGTAGTTGTAGGTAGAGTTACCTGATCTGGACTTCTAACATTTGAAGTCGTCGGAGAGAAATTGAGGCGTGGCCTCGATGTGTAACAGCGTGTGATGCCGTTTATTGCATATAGTGCAGTTGTAAATGCTGTTGCATTTTAAAGTTTCATGTCCGTGAGACAAACAATTAAGACAATAGAAGTGTTTCTTAACTGTGCCGATTTTTTCAGGAATTTAAAGTATATGGAATTTATGACAAACTCTTAGATGATGCATTTGTCGTGAACAAAGCACACATGACTTAGGCGAGAATGTACGAGGTAACCTTGAGAAACGAGGGGAACTTTGGGCCGTGACGGAATTTGATGTATTCGTTGCACCATTCGTAGAAAGGAAACGTTTATCATTGTTTAGAGGTTCGACGTGATCGATTCCCCTAATGTCACGTAAGCAGGTCAGAGTTTGGATCCTTTCTGTAAGAAAGCGATCCAAATCTTTCTACAAAGACAAAGTAGATTTGTTCTTTATGCTTTGTTCCCAAAGCACCACACAGATCTTAGGTAACCTCTGAAGACACAGGAAAACTAGAATAGGATCCCAGTCTTTTGTCGACACACTCGTTTATGCCTCTTTGTAGTTTCTTTAACCCTGCACTAGTTTCCTTGTCTAAAACTGGAAGGTCAAAGAGGAGCTTAAGTTGGTGGTTCACCAAAATTCGAGGATTGTCATAAGTAGAGAATATTGCACTCCATGCTAGGTTAAAGTTTTTGTGTGTAAGCGTAAACTTGGACACAATTTCATAGGCATCGCCACTGGTTTTATTATTCAAATGGCATAAGCGCTCAATATGGGTTCTGCCGCTATTATTGATATATATATTTTCATTTCCACAGGATGTGAAAGATGAATTTTGGGAAGTTTCAGATCGATGCGGAGCATTCGATACGGTCGCTGTATCCTCGGAATGAGGTATTGAAGTGTTACCTATATGAGATTTTGGTGAAATTACAGTAGGTGACTAGCGTAGTGCACCTAACTTTCTATTAAGGGACGCTAGAATATTTAAAAAACATTTGTAGGTGACATCGTCGCCGGATGTAATGTGGTCCTCATTAGAATTTTTATCATCATATAGGTAATCGAGGCACTTTTTAAATTGGAATTTAACTTTATCCCATAGCGTTCTGACCTCAGCTCCTTGTAATTAAAGGATGTAAACATCGAGCTCTTCGTCCCGTTGGCAACAGAAATTGGCATCAAATTTTACCAAAGCATTAGTAGCTCGGATGAATATATCCAAAGGAATGAGCGGCATTTTTAATGCAAATCAGAAGCAGAGCAAATGAATAACGTTTACAAATGCAGTAGTAGAATACAAAAATGCACCGAAAATACAAGTATTCGCAACAAGTTATAAT